CACGAACGTTAAATCTATAGTTGTTCTCTTGGAACTATTGGTGTAACAATACACTGTTTTCCAGTCAACACTGCGATTTAAAATACTTTTATTTAACACACACTAGGGCCCTTTAAGATCAGGAACTTAACAGATATAGTTTGACATAAAGTGACAGAGCCGGTGGCTAGTACATACAGTCCAGTAAGGGAGAGGGCATACTGCGGAAACACTGGCAGATACCGTATCAGCACAACAAGTCAATATCTGCCACAATATTGGCCCAAACAAATAACTGTTGCTGATCGGCTCGCGGGACACAACCGTGGTTGAATTAAAATTAATTCAACCATGGACACAACTCCCATAGCGACAAACTCAACCGCCCTCGTCACTTCTCTCTGAAGCAGAGAAGGCTATGTGATGCAACCGGCCTCACTGGGAGTTCATCATTCATCATTTGCCGCCCTGATAAAGAAATTTAAAAAATCTATAAAAAATATCGTGAACGATTTCTCAATCGTTCACAACAGAGTTCAATGTCAGAGTAGGTGCACAGATCATAGAGTTCAATGTCAGAGTGGGTACTCTTATCTCAGAGTTCAATGTCAGAGTAGGTACTCTTATCACAGATTTCAATGTCAGAGTAGGTAGTCTTATCTCAGAGTTCAATGTCAGAGTAGGCGCTCAGATCTCAGAGTTCCCGGGTTATTGATCGAGGTGAGGAAGAAGTCGTTATTTCAATGGCCGATAAATAACGAAGCCGACGATTTTTGACGATAAATTACAGGGTATAAATCAGACCGATAAACGGGGCCTTCATCAGCGGGCCGATGAGCTGTTATATGGTAGGACTTGCCTGACCACATCATGGCAACTACCTGGCAACAACCTGGCAACAATCTGGCAACAACCAGGTAACAAGCTGGCAACTACCTGGCTACTACCTGGCAACATACCTGGCAACAAGCTGGCAACAAGCTGGCAACAACCAGGTAACAAGCTGGCAACTACCTGGCTACTACCTGGCAACTACCTGGCAACAAGCTGGCAACTACCTGGCAACAAGCTGGCAACTACCTGGCAACAAGCTGGCAACTACCTGGCTACTACCTGGCAACTACCTGGCAACAAACTGGCAACCACCTGGCAACAAGCTGGCAACTACCTGGCTACTACCTGGCAACTACCTGGCAACAAGCTGGCAACTACCTGACCACAACATGGCAACTACCTGGCAACAAGCTGGTAACTACCTGGCCACTACCTGGCAACAACCTAGTAACAACCGGGCAACAATCTGGCAACAACCGGGCAACAACCGGGCAACTACCTGGTAACTAACTGGCAACAACAGGGCAACTACCTGACAACTAACTGGCAACAACCGGGCAACAACCGGGCAACTACCTGGCAACAACCGGGCAACAACAGGGCAACTACCTGGCAACTGCCTGGCAACAACAAGGCAACTACCTGACAACTAACTGGAAACTACCTGGGAACAACCTGGCAACAAACAACTGGGCAACGACCTGGCAACAACCGGGGAACAACCTAGCAACAACCGGGCAACAACATATCAACAAGCTCTAGGCTATCGGATTGTCGGCTCATAAGCAAGCACAAACTTCATGAGCTTCAGCAAACACAAACAAGCACAAACTGCACTGGTGTCAGCAAACACAAGCTGCAGCAGCCTCGGCAAGCACAAACACACTAAGCCGCAAGTGCTTGAAGCCTGCAGCTCGACAAGCAACGTTTGTTTGCTTAACAAACAACAGCAACTGAGGGGAGTGAGAAAATCGTCTATGAGAAGCTCCATAACAACTTTACTTGTTCTTCTCATTAATAATCTAATGCAAAGTGTACTCAAAAATTCACTTTGAAAGTTAATTTTGTTCGATTCGAATTATTATTAACAGGTATTCACAAGGAACATGTTATTATTTGCATGTAGTGTGAACCGTTTTGTGCTTTGTCCCAAACAGTTTTATCCGTAGAAACATTTGCTTTATTATTTTAATTTTTTTTACATTTAATGCGTCAAAATCAGTATCGAATGCATGCATTTATTTTTAGCTAAATATTTGGCATATTGAAACCAGAAAATTAAATGAGAAATTTCCACAAAAATATTACACACATTGCACGAATTGCATGCAGTGCTTGCAGCACCATTAGTATTGCATGCAGCACCATTAGTATTGCATGCAGCACCATTAGTATTGCATGCAGCACCATTAGTATTGTATGCAGCACCATTAGTATAGCATGCAGCACCATTAGTATTGCATGCAGCACCTGTCTCTTATACACATCTAGATGTGTATAAGAGACAGCATTAGTATAGCATACAGCACCACTAGTATTGTATGCAGCACCATTAGTATTGCATGCAGCACCATTAGTATTGCATGCAGCACCATTAGTATTGCTTGCAGCACCATTAGTATTGCATACAGCACCACTAGTATTGTATGCAGCACCACTAGTATTGTATGCAGCACCATTAGTATTGCATGCAGCACCATTAGTATTGTATGCTATAAAGGAAGTAGCAATGATAGTATTGCATGCAGCACCATTAGTATTGCATGCTATAAAGGAAGTAGCAATGATAGGATTGCATGCAGCATATCAGGGCAGCAGAGCGTTGCTCTGATAACGCTGCTCTGCTAAACTATGGCCTTATCAGGGCGCTGGTCGATAGCAGGGGGAGAGGGGCGGGGGGAAGTGTTGATGGATTTAGGTACAAACTTGGGATATTTAGAGTAAAGAATCCGTGGATTTAGGGTAGAAACTTGGCATATTTAGTGAAGAGTCTTTGGATTTAGGGTAGAAAATTGGCATATTTAGAGTAAAGAGTCTTTGGATTTAGGGTAGGAACTTGGGATATTTAAAGTGAAGAGTCTAGGATTTAGGGTAAAAACTTGGCATATTTAGAGTGAAGAGTCTATGGATTTAGGGTAAAACTTGGGGATATATACAGGGAAGAGTCTATGGATTTAGGGTAAAAATTTGGGGATATTTACAGGGAAGAGTCTATGGATTTAGGGTAGAAACTTGGGGATATTTACAGAGAAGAGTCTATGGATTTAGGGAAGAAACTTTGCATATTTAGAGTGAAGTGTCTATGGATTTAGAGTGGTGTAGTATCCCTCTTAGGCTTGGAGGTTTTAGCACCTCAAGTTGGCAACAGCAGAACGAAATGTTTTGTCACTTGGTGCTAGGGTCGCAATTTCTGTATTGGTATTTGTAAACACATTGCCTAACTTGTCAGCTAGAATTTCGCAATCGTTTTTTATCGAGTTAATTGTGCCTGAAGTCATTCATTCGAAAGATAAATCACGATTATGAACATTACCACAACTGTTCAGCTTCTTTTTTCGCTCATTTTCTCATTTATGGAAAAAATACACTATTGTGCTCGCCATGTCCGTCTGTTTGTCTGTCCGTCCGTCCGTCCGTCCGTGACCTCAAGTTTTGGTCGACGAGAAAATGCGCTCTCTGTCACTCACTGCAGTGAGTACTGAGTTATATTTTTTCCTACTTGTGCCTTTATTTTTTTCAGTAGCAACAGCAGTAAGCGAATGGGTTACACTTGTCCCATGTCCATATTACTTCCTAATGACTAATGTTTATTTGAGGATATTTTTTAATTTAGCCTACCTAGCGACCATTGCTTCAATATTTATTTGTTTGCTGAGTCGTCCAATGATTTCCGAGATTATATGTTCTTGAATATTAATTTTTGATTATTCATTTACGCTAGATTTGGTTATATAGGTGGTCCATTTCTCTCCAGTAGCTGGGCAAGATATAAGCATTATATCTTAGGTCTTAGAATTATAACTTAGGGATGGATATAAGCATTATATATTAGGTCTCAGAATTTTAACTAAGGGATGGATATAAGCTTTATATATTAGGTCTCAGAATTTTAACTTAGGGATGGATATAAGCTTCAATCTTAGGTCTTACAATTATAACTTAGGGATGGATATAAGCTTCAATCTTAGGTCTTATAATTATAACTTAGGGATGGATATAAGCTTCATATCTTAGGTCCTAGAATTATAACTTAGGGATGGATATAAGCTTTATATCTTAGGTCTTAGAATTATAACTTAGGGATGGATATAAGCTTTATATCTTAGGTCTGAGAATTATAACTTAGGGATGGATATAAGCTTTATATTTTAGGTCTTAGAATTTTAACTTAGGGATGGATATAAGCTTTATATCTTAGGTCTTAGAATTTTAACTTAGGGATGGATATGGGATTGGATACTTTGGAAATTCCAAACCGCTTGGATCATACAAGAACTGTTTGTATCTCGCATTAGTCATTTTTCTTAAATTATTAAATTTTTGTGGCATTTCTGTAGATAATTATGTGATTAATTTATACTTCGTCTCTCGCGTGAATTCAATTAGATATTTACATAAGGTTTTCATATTTCATTCAAAGTATTCACTCCTACCTTGCTAACTGAGTCATGCTAGGCGCTCGTTATATTATTCATAGTTGTTTCTTCATTATTATTCATTATTATTCATTCAACACTGGAAACTTGGGTTAATTAAAGGGAAGGGTCAATGAGTTTAGGGTGAAATTAGTGATTGTTAGGCAGAAGTGTCGATGAATTTAGGAAATAAAATTGGGATAGATGATTTTTTTCATACAACATCACACAAAAAAAATTAATTTGGAATGAAAATTTGTATGCTTCAAACATTTAGTGATAAATTGTTTCTTCAGAAACCAGCGCAGGCCCTCGTTTGCCCTCATCTCTGCCCTGTTGTCTTTCATCTCTGCCTGTTATCCCTCATCTCTGCCCTGTTGTCCCTCATCTCTGTCCTGTTGTCCCTCGTCTCTGTTCTGTTGTCCCTCATCTCTGCCCTGTTGTACCTCATCTCCGCCCTGTTGTCCTTCATCTCTGTCCTGTTGTCCCTCATCTCTGTCCTGTTGTCCCTCATCTCTGCCCTGTTGTCCCTCATCTCTGTCCTGTTGTCCCTCATCTCTGCTGTTGTCCCTCATCTCTGTCCTGTTGTCCCTCATCTCTGTCCTGTTGTCCCTCATCTCTGTCCTGTTGTCCCTCATCTCTGCCCTGTTGTCCCTCATCTCTGTCCTGTTGTCCCTCATCTCTGTCCTGTTGTCCCTCATCTCTGTTCTGTTGTCCCTCATCTCTACCCTGTTTTCCCTCATCTCTGTCCTGTTGTCCCTCATCTCTGTCCGGTTGTCCCTCATCTCTACCATGTTGTCCCTCATCTCTGTCCTGTTGTCCCTCATCTCTGCCCTGTTTTCCCTCATCTCTGCCCTGTTGTCCCTCATCTCTACCCTGTTGTCCCTCATATCTGTCCTGTTGTCCCACATCTCTACCCTGTTGTCCCTCATCTCTGTCCTGTTGTCCCTCATCTCTGTCCTGTTGTCCCTCATCTCTGCCCTGTTGTCCCTCATCTCTGTCCTGTTGTCCTTTGTCCCTCATCTCTGCCCTGTTGTCCCTCATCTCTGCCCAGTTATCCCTCATCTCTGTCCTGTTGTCCCTCATCTCTGCCCTGTTGTCCCTCATCTCTGCCCTGTTGTCCCTCATCTCTGTTTTGTTATCCCTCATCTCTGCTTCATCTCATATAGGATTAGATCTTCATCTTAAAAAAATCTATGAATCTAATATATATAATATAATATATATAATATGATTACCGAGAAAAAAATTTCTGATCCTTTTTATTCATCAAATTTGCTGGAAATGCGACTTTATTTAAGAAATGCAGGCGAATTTCCCTTTGGGTGTGACTATCTTCGATAATTTCAAGCTTTGCAATATTATAGAAATTTTCATGACTATGTCGTTTTGTAATATATATATGAAAGAAAATTACATTATGCAAAGATTTCTGTAAATTTCCGGGCAGCAAGTATAAATAGCTTACTAAGTAACTTATCATGCTAAGATTGACATTTGAAGTTGGTTACTCTACATCATACGGCAGCACGTATGATCGCAAGTGACTGTACCAGCACGTGACTGTACACAGAGCATGGCTGTTCCCTCTACGTCTATGTGACTGTATCTAGAGGCCGCAACTCAACCTTCTGCGTGACTGTATATCTAGAGGTTGCGACTGTACCCAGCGCTTGACTGTATCTAGAGGCCGCGACTGTACCCAGAGCGTGACTGTATCTAGAGGCCGCGACTGTACCCAGAGCGTGACTGCATCTACAGGCCGCGACTGTACCCTGCGCGTGACTGTATCTAGAGGCAGCGACTGTACCCAGAGCATGACTGTATCTAGAGGCCATGACTGTACCCTGCGCGTGACTGGCGTGAGCGGTCATTACCTGGCGCCTAAAAAGTGTGATGCGAGGCGCAAATTGGCGCGTGTAGATCACACGATGTATATTTTAACACGCCCGCGTGTTGGACCGCTCGTGTAGGGAGAATATGAAGCCTCACACGCTCGATAATAACGAAAAAATCATCGGTGTGTTCTCAGATGATACCTGCTATCATCGGTGTGTTCTCAGATGATACCTGCTATCATTAATGTTTTATTAGATGATAGTTGCTATCATTAATGTCTCCTCAAATTATACGTACAACCATTAATGATTCTCAGGTGATACCTGCTATCATTAATGATTCTCAGATGGTTCGTACAACCATTAATGTGTCCTCAAATGATACGTACCACCATTGAAGCACGCAGCTTGTTCTCTTGAATAACTTTTTAATTTGAATTATAGTTACAGATCCGCAGTAATTGAACGCTACATTTCCTTCTTAATTAACTTTAATCTTTTATATATCAGCCGCTGACTATTTAAATATATCTATCTATACATCGTCCACATGTAAAACGTCCAAGACTTTCATTAATAAGAATTCGAGCACGTGTAATTTTGAACTTGTTTCTACCAGTGAATTATAATTCATAATTTTCTAAAATCACTACACTCATTCAACCATTATTAAATTTATTAGGAGCATCAATTAACGCAATAATGTCATTCATAATTCATAGTTATTATCTATGTCAATAATAGATATTTACTAACCAGTATCTGAATTTACTTGCGCTGTATCACTGACATGTATCTCAGTACAGTCACGGCACACAGCACTGCCAAGCTGTACAGTCACTGCACACAGCGCTGCCCAGCTGTACAGTCACAGCACACAGCGCTGCCCAGCTGTACAGTCACAGCACATAGCGCTGCCCAGCTGTACAGTCACGGCACACAGCGCTGCCCAGCTGTACAGTCACGGCACGCAGCGCTGCCCAGCTGTACAGTCACGGCACACAGCGCTGCCCAGCAGTACAGTCACGGCACGCAGCACTTCCAAGCTGTACAGTCACTGCAAACAGCATTACCCTCTTTTACAGTCACGGTGCGCAACTATAACGAACAAAAATGGTTTTAATTTGAACATAATTTCAACGGCCGTGTAATAGCAGCAGTAAAAGAAAGCAAACTGCTATTTTACCAACCGCTTACACTAGCAAACACAATCACATATGACACCTAATTTATGGTTATTCGACATTGCTTATCAGATGGCCGCCTAAAAGGCGCCTTTAATTATACCATGTTTCATTTTTTCTTGAGATGACGCAATAAAAAAACGTCGCAGGATGACAGCGCAAACAGAGCGATGTCCTTTGTACGGACATGGCAATTGTCAGGACGATGTCCGGCCGTCACGTGATGCTGAAATTTGCAAATTATACGGAGTTTGTGACGCTCGATACGGTGGAAATAATACGGGGTATGTTATACGCAGGACGCTGGAGAAACAAAATGAGGTTAATAACAGGCAATTTATAATGGTAGGATTACATATGATATAGGGTGTAAATTGAACAGGGTATATGATGCAGGATAGGGTGTAAATTGAACAGGGTATATGATGCAGGATAGGGTGTAAATTGAACAGGTTATATGATGCAGGATAGGGTGTAAAATTAACAGGTAGGTGGCACACAAACCTACCCTATATATTCGCCCAGAAAAGGGTAGGTTGTATCCCTAAATCTGGAAGTGCCATGGTCGAGTCAGGGGTTTCATAGGAATCCTTAAAGTCCCCAGTTTTCGTAGGTGAAAAAATTGGCAGTAATTAAGGGCGTTGACTTAATTAGAAACACATTCGTTTTCTAAGTACTAATACCCATAGGTTTATAACTAATTACACGCCTAATCACACAGATTAATTTGAGATCGAAATTAGAACAATAATTGAAATGAAAATATTACGAAATTTTCACACGGATTAGACACCGTAATAAATACACCAAATAAACACAGTAATAAATAAAAGTAAAGCTACATGTCACGCAACTTAATTTCAGATCGTAGGCAGAACCATAATTGTAAAAAATGATTGTTAACAGAATTCTCACACAGATTTATTCGAGTGAACGCGCTCATAGGCAACTTTGTAAAATCAAAATTTTGTAAAATGGTGAAATTGCTCCTGCTTTATCCTGCGACCGGCCTCGTACAAAGGATTACTTTTATCGTGCAAAGGATTACTGGTTTCCTTATAGTTGCTGGTAGATCCTATATAGTGGCGGCTAGAATTTTTAGCTGCAGCGGCCGCCACAACTTTCCCCTTATATAAAAGTACCTTTACAAGTAGATGTGTAGAAGTAGGAGTAGATGTAGAGCAGCGCAGGTATATATTAGCCGTAAGATGTAGCACGTAGAGCGAGATGCTCTTACGAAGAGCACGGTATGAAGTTCCTACGGACCATATCACGTAGGAACTCCTTACCTCGCTGCTCGCAGAGATCAAGTAGCAACTTCTTGCCACGTAGGAACTACATACATCGCTGATATTACGTCCAAATTGCGTACGAAATTATTTCTCATCACCATTTCGTTCTCACCATCTTTTTCTCACCATCTTGTTACCCTCGCCATCTTGTTCTCGCCATCTTGTTCTCGCCATCTTGTTCTCACCATCTTGTTCTCACCATCTTGTTATCCTCACGATCTTGTTCTCGCCATCTTGTTCTCACCATCTTGTTCTCCTCACCATCTTGTTCTCCTCACCATCTTGTTCTCTTCAAAATCTTGTTCTTATCATCTTGTTCTTCTCACCATCCTATTCTCACCATCTTGTTCTCACCATATTGTTCTCCTCACCATCTTGTTCTCTTCAAAATCTTGTTCTTATCATCTTGTTCTTCTCACCATCCTGTTCTCACCATCTTGTTCTCCTCACCATCTTGTCCTCCTCACCATCTTGTTCTCCTCACCATATTGTTCTCCTCACCATCTTGTTCTCCTCACCATCTTGTTCTCCTCACCATCTTGTTCTCCTCACCATCTTGTTCTCCTCACCATCTTGTTCTCCTTACCATCTTGTTCTCCTCACCATCTTGTTCTCCTCGCCATCTTGTTCTCCTCACCATCTTGTTCTCCTCATCATCATGGCCAAGGCAACGCGTCATCTGGCCGGCGTCTGTGGAAACGAACAAAAAAAGTCGTTAAAAGAGATAAGAACAAAAGAGAAGATATAAGAACAAAAGAAAAAAGATAAGAGCAAAAGAAAAGAGATAAGAACAAAAGAGAAGAGATAAGAACAAAAGAGAAGAGATAAGAACAAAAGAGAAGAGATAAGAACAAAAGAGAAGAGATAAGAACAAAAGAGAAGAGGTGAGAATAAGAACAAATGGGGAAAGTATGAGAAGAAAGGGAAAAGATGAAAACAGAGGGTATGATATTATAAAAAGCGAATAAATGATGTAATAATGAAGATAATGTGATGATAATATAATGATATAATAAATGAGATGATATGAAAACAAATGATTTAAAAAAAGAAGGAAGGGGAAGAGATGACAGAAATAGAGTTTATTAAATGAGTAGAAAGGGGACTTTATTACAGTAAAAAATTCATTCTTGTTTGACTCGAATAGTTTCTTTATTACGGATTTAATTGATGAGTGAAAGTAATGACTAACCATTACATAAAATCAACGTGCGTATATATTACCCACATATAAAGTATTCACCAGGCACAGATATTCACAATTAACAACACAAACGAAGCCTTAAAAATATCCCTTTATAAAAGTATTCACCAAACACAGATATAATTAACAACAATTAACAACAATTAACAACAACTTAACAACTCATAATTAACAACAACTTTATAAAAGTATTCACCAAACACAGATATTCATATTTAACAACACAAACAAAGCCGTAAGTATATCTCTTTATAAAAGTATTCACCAACCACAGATATTCATATTTAACAACACAAACAAAGCCGTAAGTATATCCCTTTATAAGAGTATTCAGCAAACACAGATATTCATAATCAACAACACAAACAAAGACGTCAGTATATCCCTTTATAAGCAGTAGCCTGACTTCATTAGAAGTAAACGCGCCTATGAGCCAGCAGGCCTACGCCGTCCCATCTCACAGGCCTATTCTCTAAGCCTATGTTCATCAGCCCGCGAATTAGACTTCTGGTCCTGCCAAATCAGGCGGGCTAGGTAGGCCTAGGACTAGTCTTTTCTGGGCGGCCTATGCTAATAAACTAGGCCTGCAAGATCAAGGAGATCATCACAGACTACAAGTTTTTTTCATACA